CTTCTTTTTCTGAATCAGACTGAATGATGTTTGGTCACACATTGTAGCACCTAGTCAAAGTATTAACTTCTTGATTACTTCCATCTTCAGAAGATAAATTATGAAGATCTAGTTTGGGCTTTTTGGCAAAATTATTTGGCTCAGGTAGTACTTTACTAATCTCATACACAGGTTCATCAATAGCCCTATTAACTAACTGACCCTGTTCATTAATCTCAATAACAATAAAGTCATTTGCTGAGCTTTTTATAGTACCCTGAAATCCAACATGATCATTAATGAAACACAAGGAACTAAACCTGTTTCTATAATCTGTATCTTCTTCCATTCTTAAGTAATAAGGCCTACAAAAGAAACAAAGCAGTCAGCTACGAGAAAAAGTTGTGGATAACAAAAAAGGAACTGGTCTGCAAGATTTACTTAGTTCTGTCCCCCTTTCAATTGTGAGTCTCTTAAATGGCATTCATGACTTATTTGATGGCTACATAAAAAGTGCACTTTGATCCTCTCATAAGCTAAATTAATAGGCAAACTACTTTTGGTATAACTAATGATTTGTACCTTGATTCTTCCCTTACTTCAGGCTTCTGTCTACAATCCAGGATTAAAATAGGTCAATTTCAAGTTTACCTTAAAAGTAGTATTTGTAGGGCCACAAAGAAAAGTCAAGAACATAGCTCTATGATGGATGGCAATGGCTCATGCCTATAATCCTAGGTACTTGGGAGGCTGAGATGGGGAGAACTGAGGTTTGAGGCCAGTCTGGGCAAATAGTTTCAAGACCACATCTCCAAAACAACCAGAGCAAAATGGACTGGAGGTGTAGTTTGAACAGTAAAGCACCCACATTGCAAGTGCAAAGCCCTGAGTTAAAATCCCCAGTCCCACCAAAACAAACCAAACAACCACAATAAAAAGAACACAGGTCTATTTTACAATGGTTTGTCTCATCTCATACCTGGAGCCTAAAATTTCCAGCTAATTCCAGAGAAAGTATGGCTGCATTTTTAAATTTTAGAGATTCAAACATGAGAGAGGACAAGAAAACAGGAAGACATAGTCTAAATTGATAGATAAATTCTAAATACCAACGTGCAAGTAAGCTTAAGTTATGTTGGACCTTAAGCCTTCTTCAAAGCTCTCAGAAGAACAAACTTCTGAGGCTGATCCAGAGGAAATTTTCTACAGTATCATTGGCATCACTACAGTTTTCTTGGAGCAGTAGACAAGAGTTCTCTAAGGAAGCCGCCACTCAGTCAGCACATAACCCATTGCTATCATACTACCTGGAGCTGAGAGAAATATTTTGGATGAGGCCTCACTACTTAGTTCTGTGTTACCCACACTTTCCAGGTAATTTATCATCACCTAGACTTTCATCTTACTGACATGAACCAATTTAGCATTTCTAGCTAAGGTTTTTCTGCATTATTTACTGTCTGTCTCTCTCAATGTAATGTCAACTCCATGTGTACAGGAACGTTGTCTTCCTAGGCACTAGTGAAAAAAACCCTATTTAGAACAGTGTGAAGCACACAGTAATCAGTACTGATTGTTGAGTAAATAAAACAACTATTAAAATATATGAGCTGTAAATGTGAAGAGGCAAAGAAAGATCACTTTTGCCTATGATCATCAGGAAAGGCACAATACAAGAAATGGCAATCTAAGTCCTTGTAACAGTTCAAGAGAGAGAAATAAGGCAGAGATATCCCAAGTAATGTACAAACAAAACACACAACGTGCATGAGAAAAATAAATAGCCCAGATACAGCGCAACAGTAGGGGCTGGAGGATGGTTCGGTGCTGGAAAATACACCTGGATTGATGCCAGGCTGTGAAAGACAAGGAATGTCCTGTCAAAGATTTAGAACCTATTGCAAAGCCAATGGCTAGCCACTGGAGGTATGTGAGTAGTAAAGAGACACAATCCATAGGGCGTTTTTTTTTCTGAGATGACTCTGATGACACTGAACAGCATGCAACTGATGGTGCTGTAAAACAACTTAATGCAGTCCACAGCTGTAGGAATCGATCTTGGAAGAATAATGATCTTCGTTCCCCAGAAAAAGGAAGAAGAAACGAAGGCATTCTAAGCCAGTGAAATAGGTGGAGAGACTTGGGGAGGACATAAGGAACTCCAGCCAAGCATCTTGATGCAAGAGTGGAACTGGGAGGCACAGCCGGGGTTCACGTGGGGCTGAGCATCAGTGCGCAGGGTGCCCAAGCAACAGGCAGCTGATGAGAGGGACAACCCGGCTGGCCGGTGGCTGAGGTGGGATCTTGGGAAGGTGTTAGAAATGGATGGAGGTATTTCCTTTTCCTCCATGCTTTTCTTTTACCAGCCGCCCCAGACCTGTAGAACTCACCCTACAGACGTTAACCCTCGGCAGTACTAAAGCCCAGGGCGGGGATAGCCTTCACCTCCAAAGCCCCAGCTTCTGACAGCAACTCTACATTTTCCTCTCCCTCCCCCGGCCCCGCGCGCCCTAAGGCGCGATCTTCGTCCACTTGGCCCTGCCCTGGAGGCAAAGGCTCGGGATCGTCAAGGCGGACCTCATCACGGACGGCGCACTATCCCCACACCGCGCAAGAAGCTCTGCCCCATCTACCTCACGTCCAGGTGAAACGTCCCTCAGCACTAGGCTGTGCGCATGCCCGGAAGTCTTAAAATTTCTCAGCCTCCGACAAGGACATATTTAAAGAGACAGGCCTCTTTTTAAAAATCGTCCTACGCAAAGTGTGGAGTTTTCTCACATAGTGGAGCCGCCTGGAGGCATCTAGAGGAATCGGGGACGAAGCGGAAAGGGATGGAGGCGGGGAGGGGGCGGGGCTTTCCCGGACGGCCCCGCCCCTAGCGCTTCCGGGTCTCCAGGCGTTCTGCTGTTGGCTCCGCTGGGCGGCGCTCTACCGGCACTCCGCGCCCGCGCAGGTAAGGGGTTCTCCGACTGTGCGCGTCCTGCCTCGAAGTCTCTTGGAGGTCGACGCCCCTGCCTTGGTCTCTCGGCTGGAGGGATGTCGCGCGACCGCGGCAGAACGCAAGTCGCCCTCTCATTAAAGTGAGAAGTTAGAGAGGAAGTAGTGGCGAGGACAGAGCGGGGATAGGGACTTGAGGGGGTGGGGGATCCAGAGGTTCGTGGGCCCTGAGGGGGAACCTCGGGCGCGGAGGGTCGTCGCCCCGCGGTCCTGTGTCGTGGACGGACCTCCCTCCCCTCAATTTTCTCGGCTCCAGGGCTGTGTTGGCTGAGCCGGTTTATCAGAGGTTTGTTTGATGGGAACCAGGAAGTAAGGCCAGCGCCCGCAGAGGTGCGTGTAGAGCGCAAAGCCATCGGAGTCCCCACGCGATTCTCACTCCCTTGTTTCCCCGGGTTCCGGGGACTTACGAAGTGAAGAGGTTAGTAGGATACAGAAGTACATTAGCAGATGGCTTGGAAGCCAGAGTGGACAAAAAGATGAAAAGCAAATCTTGAGAAAGTCAGAAAGCATTTTTAGCCAGAGTGGGAATCGCCTTACCTATTAGTGCCTCAAAAACGATGTGCCCAATTAAACTCTGCCTTTTCGAGTAATCATTTAATGAGGTCTGTCAGAAAGTTCAGGGTTCTTTTATTTTCTTTTTTATGCTGAACTTTCATTGGAAGTTTGCTTTCTGCCAGGCGAAACAAGTTGAAAGCGATGGTGCCATCTTCTCCCTCTCCACATTAGCACCGAAGGTTCCATTGCCTGTACCTCAGAATATATCCAGCATCCTAGGACATCTCCACATACTCTGCTGCCCTCTGGTTTCAACTGCCAGCACCTCCCTCCTGGATTACCATGCACTTTCCTCATCGGTCGCTTCCTGCTTCTGTCCGTACTCCAGCATCCTCTAGTCTCAGCAGCAGCATGTCTGCTTTTTTCAGAACTTCCAGTTTCCTCCTCTCACACAGACAAAGGCAATACAAAGTCTGCAAAACCTGGCCCCCGGGAGTAGAGAGTACCTCTCCAGTCTCACACGCTCCCTTGCTGTTTCTTAGTGCTCCCGTTTTCAGCCTCTGTCTTTACTATTACTTTTGCCCAGAATTATACCCCTCAGATATCCTAATGGTTGGCTTTCTCATTCCTTAAAATCTTTTATCAAATAGCACCTTCTTATGGAGGTCCACTACAACTGTCCTATTTAAAATTATAACCCTTTCTCTCTGCTCGTTTTTCTCTGTCCATTTGGCACCATCTAACATATTATAGAATTAATTCATTTGCTTATTGCCTGTCTTCCTCCATCAGAACAGAAGCTCCATGAGTTCATGTCTTTTTTTCGCTCATTTTCTTAATGATTTATTTCTAGAACCTAGATTAATATCCAGCACAAAGTAAGCACTCAGTAAATATTTGGTGAATGAATGATATCTATTTTAATCATCCCCAGTGCATTTTAAATTACTTACTATTGAGTTAAATCGGTGTTCAGGAAAGATGTATGTTTATTTTATGGTACACAGGTACATACCCTAGTTTTCAAAAGACTGCCCTGTAAAATTAAATAGGTCTGAAAGATCTTAGCTTTTGTACACAATAAGGATGTTGAGGTACTTAACATATATTAATGGTTAGTTCGCATATTTCACTAAGAACTAATAGAAGTGAATAATTATTTTAGAAAGGTTGTAAATTAGAGGTGCTGTGCTTGATAAAATCATACTACCACCTTCTGAAAAGCTTAGCTATCTCCTCAGATCTCTGCTTTGTATGCTACCCATAACCCTTCACCATTGTTGTGAAAGTTGAGCTTAACAAAACTCTGCACATTTGCTTACAAAACAATATGTAAGAATAACTTATGCCAGAAAATAATAAGTACAACTTTTGACCACCTATTATTGTACTTGTTAATTTCAGCACTTACAAAATTCTTAGGTATTAGCATCTCCAGTTTTTAGATGAAGAATCCAAGTTCCAGAGACATTAATTTACTGACTGGTCATAGTTGACTATGCTAGAACCCAGATGCATGCTACCTCAAAGTCCATCTTCTGTCCACCTCTATGGAATCCCTCTCTCTGCTCAGAGTGAAAATGAAGCAGTTTTTTAAAATTTATTAATTCCATTGGCAAGAATGTTTTCAACTCCCATTTGGAGCACTATACTTTGAGAACAAAGGCATATGAATGAAAGTTCATTTGGGTTCCACGAGGAGACACTGATTTTAATATATTTCACAGTTGCCATCTCACTTTGTATGGTTGTCTCTGTTGTCTTATTTGAAAATATGAATGGTTTTCCTTTGCTTAAAATTAATGATATGAGAAAACAATCATGGAGATATTTATTATTTCTTTGTAAGAAATACATCCTATTCTGCTTCTATTAACTCTATCTGTACCAAAGTAAATCTCACATAGTTTGAAAAAGGTAACACCTTTTAGTTTTTCTGCACTGTTTAGTTTTCATTACTGAAAATTCTGAAAAGCAAAATAAAAACAAAACTACCATAAAAGTCATTATGAAAAGATAACCCCTGTTAGGTTCTTACAAATATGTGATTGGGATTGTTATGTGAATGTGCTTAAGATAAAATTCTGTGACTTAGAACTTTTAGATCTATATTTGTGGAAGAGTTGTCAAAAGGACTTCCTTTTCCTGGTATCCCTACACCATCACCTGTACTAGAAATCTGAGTGCAGAAGAGCTACAAAATTAATTTCTATCACTAAGATAGCCTGTTTTTATTCTTAACATCCTACATTTTGGCTGTAGTTTTTTAAATTACTATCTAGTTCTACCTTCACTAACTTTCTTTAACACATTGTATGTATTTCCTACAGTAGGCAGAAATCTGGTTAATAAAGAAAATGTAAGTGGGGCAACTGCAAAATCTATAGCTAGATAGGATTTCTTATATTTTGAAAAATCAGTCTCATTCAACACAAATGTTTTTGCATAGCTGCTGAAGTGAATTTGATTAGGTCCCTGTCCATGAGAACACAGTGATTGGCAGAGAAAGCAGAATCAAACAATAATAATTGTTATACTGGAAGAATGACAAGGTGACATTTTGGATCAAGAATTGACTGTCAGGAAAAGTCTTTTGAAAATTGGGCTTGGAGGACTAGTAGGCATTTAGCAGATGGCCCTTAATGTGCTTGGGCAGTTCTTTTACCTCGTCCTAGATGACTACTTCACAGGGAAAATTACATCATTTGGGAACTTTCTCTTTCCCTCCAAATGTATCTGTATCCAAGCCTCTGGTGCTCTCTTTTTAGATTGAGAAGAAGAGATTTTCTTTTATTTAAGGATTACCTCCTTGCCTATTTTCTCTTTACTATCTTATTTGTGTCATCAACCAGTTTAAGCCTTAAACTCTTGCACGAGCAGTTCTCAAAGGTGTAATTTGGGTCCCTGGGACTCTTACAGGAGGTTTATGAGGTCAAAATCACATATAGGTAAAAGAATCATTGTGCACTGGATTTTGATGTGCAGTGGTCATTGATTCTTCAAATTCCACATTGTATTTTTTAGGAAATCATTTTTTACCAAACTTTAGTGTCAGAGAAAAATATCTACTACTCAGTTAAAAGGCTATTAAAATACCCCTCCCTTTTCCAGCTATATGTCTGTGTGGAGCTGAATTTTCTTCATATACTGTAACCAAAGTAACATGGCAGATTGAATGCAAAAGCAGATGTGAGAATTCAACTGTCTTCCAGTAACGTAAGCATTAAAGAGATTTATAAAACTATAAAATAATGTCATTCTTTTATTTCTTTGGAAAACAATTTTATATTCCATGCATAATATATTTTTGTTACATATGTATATATAATGGTTATTTTAAATGAATTGATATGTAATTTTTAAAATTCTCAGTCATTTTCTAACCTGGTAAACAATGGTAGATGTGGATACAGCTGACATAAACAAAAACTCTTTAGGGTCCATAATAATTTTTAAGTGTGTAAAGTGATCCCAAGATAGAGTTTAAGAACTACTATCTTCCTTCTTTCTATCTTTCTTCCTTCCAGCTAGTAAAATTCACTTTTACTGTTCACTCACTGTTCCACTATACCTGTTCTTAAGTTAACTGTGGCCTCTCTTGGTTTTGGGATCAAACATACCCATCGGTATTTATTTGATTTCTCAGTCTTTTATACCAACCTATCACCCATTCTAGAAATCTCTGATAGGCTATTGTCCTGGTTTTCTTCTTACTGCTATGACTTATCAGTGCTATTTTAAAGTTCTTCTTTCACTACATTCCTTCCCACTGAATGCATTCCTAATATGCAACCTCATTTTAATTTGTTGTTCCAACAACAAGTTGTTGCTTCCAATTCACATATCAGAATACTTGAGCATTCTTTGCTGAAACCTCTCTGCTAAGTTCCAGACCATTTGTGTAGGTACCTGATGCCAGTTCCCCAAGATGGTGCTGGAGGTAGGTATTTCACAAAACCAGGAACCATCTTCATTGTTTCCTCACTTTCCTTTTCCTCTCTCTCCCTTTCCTCTAATAGCTGATCCCTCATAATATCATTTTGTTACCTTCTTCTCCATTCCATGACCCTGTGCTTTTTTTTTTTTAACGCTTCATTTTTGCTTACCTAGATCATTGCAAAAGTTTCCAAACTGGTTTCCTTGCCTAGATATACATCTCTTCAATTTTTTATCCAGAGGACTCCACTTAACCAAATAAGATTATATAATACCGCTCTTGGCTCACACCTGTAATCCTAGATGCTCAGGAGGCAGAGATCAATAGAATTGCAGTTCAAACCCAGCCCAGGCAAATAGTTTGTGAGACCGTATCTAAAAAAAAACCCATCAGAAAAAAGGGCTGGTGGCGTAACTCAAGGTGTAGGCCCTAAGTTCAAATCTCAGTACTGCAAAAAAAAAAAATACCCTGAAATCCTAGTTATTCAGGAAACAGAGACCAGGAGGATCATGGTTTGAAGCCAGCCCCAGGCTGTCTTGAAAATACACAACACAATAAGGGTGATAGAGTGACTCAAGTGGTAGAGCAGCTGCCTAGCAAGTGTAAGGCCCTGAGTTCAAACCCCAGTACTGCCAAGAAAAAAAAAATTCTAAAGTGGCTCCCCTGTAATTTATAGTATCACTTTAAGCCATTGCCTTGTTTTAGCATAAAAGGTGAATGATCTAACCTTATCTGTTTTCACTTAAACACATGCAGTCTGTGGTTAGCTTCCTTGCTTAACCCTAATCTATGTCCTCCTACCCTTTTCTGTACTGCTCCCTCCACCTGGAATTTCCTTTTGATTTCTCCTCATTACTTTCACTCTTCCTTCTGATCTCTTACTCAACCAAATGTGTGTTGGTATACCAGTTTTGACTGCCTCTGTTTAATCTCCTTCTTTGGGACCTGTAGCACTGTAAAACATATCTCTTACAACATTTATCACTCATTTTAATTGTATAATTTGCTAATGTAAGCAACTTGAAAACAAAGATAATTTCTTTGTGCTCCTATTGATCAGTATGAAGCCTGATATATATGGATGCTGAATTACAAATGAATAAAAAGAAAGGAATAGTCCTTCTAGAAAATACAATTACATGAACAGTGCATCAAGTTATAGACATGGGGTTGTGTGGTGTGAATTTTGGAGTCAGGCATGAGTTCAAGATCTAGATCTTTTGCTTACTACTTTTGTAGAACAGAGGTTAAAAAATTGTGTTAGTTACTACGGAGTCTTAAGTGAAATACCTAAGTCACCTTGTGTAGTTCTCAGCAATAATGCATTCTTTCCTAAAATGCAGAGTTAGTCATCTTTCCATTGCCATGATAAAATACTTCAGAAACTCAATTGAAAGGAAGAGATTTATTTTGGTTTACAGTTTCAGAGGTTTCAATTCATTGTTTCTTGGTTTGTGGTGAGGCAGAACATCATAGAGGAGAGCATATGAGCTTCTCACCTCATAGTGGCCAAGAAGGAGAGAGGGGAACAGGAAGGAATGGAACAGGACAAAACATACCCTTAAAGGGCATGCCCCCCCCCCACCCCCAGTGACCTACTTCCTCCAGCTGGCCCCTACCTCCTAAAGTTCTGCCACCTCCCAATAGCCCACTAAACTATGAATCCATTGATGGCTTAATCTATTGATAAGGTGAGAGTTCTCATAATCCATTCACCTCTCAAAGATCCCATCTCTGAACAGTGCTGCCTTCAGCACATGAACTTGTAGGAGACATTTCAGATCAAAGCCATACCACACACTTAACATTCAATATGTACATGTCACTAGGTATATATCAATGAATAAAATAAGCATGGTCCCTAAATTCCTGAAGCTTTAAGTCTAATGAGGGAGACAGATAGTAAATAAGTAACTAAATGTATTATTACAAATATATTTTGCAATGATGAAAGATAATTAGATGGGGGAAACTAAACCTGTCTAGATATGGTCAAAGAAGTCAAAAGAGGTAAACACTATCATGGAAGCATAGGATACAGAGAGGTTTTTGGTTTTTTACTGCTTTAATTTCATACCATATGAATATACTATTTACTCCAAAATATAACTTATATTTTTAAAATAAAAAATTATGAGGAAGGAGAAATAATTGAAAGAGTCGTACCTGAGTGTGTTTCTCTTCATTAATTAGAAGGAAAGATTACCATCTACTAAGAGTGGGGGACATGGAGAACACCCAGAGAAAGGTGAAAGTATGGAGCAGTCACTAAGGACAGTGAGAGAAGCATACCAGGATTAATAGCGGTGTTGTTGAAAGGGGTTATAAGTTTGTGTTCACACTACTCAGTTCAGCTATGTATTTTTCTACAACAATATTCAGCAGCTCTGGTATAGGGGAAAGTCTGAGACTTAGCCCTGACAGCAGTAGAAGAAAAGAGGATAGAAAAAAAGTAAGGATTCTGTCTAAAGAGGAGTTGAAGTGGTGAACAATACTTCTTTGAAGTATCTTTTTAGAAAGAAGTATGCTATATGAGAAATATCTGAAAGGAACATATATCTTTTAATGCTATACAAATTATATGAGTACATTTTTTACCTTTACCAAAAAGTATTGCATAAATTTTTCATAACATAAGAATTGCATGAAAAAAATATTTCAAATTGAAAGAAAATCTTTTATTAATAAGTTTTGATTCCTGAACACATGGGAATTTTGCAAATAAAGTACACTTTCTGCTCCTTTGTATAAATTTTACTTGGAAAATATCAGTGTAAGAACAAAGTCCTTTTTTATGTTTAAAGGTGGAAGCAAACTCAGAGGACAGTTAGAAAATGCATTTAAATTTAGATTTCTTCTTAGGAAATCAGAAAATTGTCTTTGGAGTGTTTATTATGGTAAAATCATTTATCAACATTCCATACAATATAGGAAAACATGTTTTATCAGCTTACAGATGTCATCTCTGAAACTATTATAAAAATGACTGAGATTTTTTCATATTTCAGGAGTAGAAGATGAACAAACCAATAACACCATCAACATATGTGCGCAACCTCAATGTTGGACTAATTAGGAAGCTATCAGATTTTATCGATCCTCAAGAAGGATGGAAGAAATTAGCCGTGGCTATTAAAAAGCCATCTGGTGATGATAGATACAATCAGTTTCACATAAGGTAACATAAAATTCTTTTTCTTTTTAAATTCTTACATCACAAGCATGATTAAGATATAAATACTATCTATCTTATGTTGAAGTTTAGAAGGTGCTATAGAGTAGACAATAGTAAAAAACAAAAACTTTTTTTTCAATTTTTGCTCCATTCTCTAGCATGTCAACTGCACTAATACCATGATCTTGCAAATGAGGTTTCCAGTTAGAATCAAGATTCCTACTTTTCCCCTGTTTGTGGAGCCAAGAACAGTTAAAACATTCTGAGTCTATTCTCCTAAGTGTGTGAATCTGTAAGGCATCCTTAACAATGTATTTTGGCAATTCTTAAAGCTGACATTTTAAAATTGTTCCTTGTAAGAAAGCATATCTGTCAACAGAATTCTTAGATCTTAGCCAGGATTTTCTAGCACTATCTTCAAATAATTTCTATTCTTCCTCTCTTGTCCTTTCTGTTTAATTTAATGTAAAACGTAAGTGTAGATTTTATTTTTGTCAGTCATTACAGTTAAAGCTTACATCAAAATCTTGTCTTTGATAGCAAGAGGAATTTTTTTTTCTGTTTTTCAGTGTTAGCCTGGTAAAAAACCAAAAGTCTTGTGTTTCACATTAATCTCTCCAGGAAATCCTTCATACATGTTTTCTTTACATGAAGGTTAACTGTTTTAAACTATTTGGAAGAAGCTCAAGTTTAGAACTTGAAAGCCAGATTTTAAAGATAGTTTTTTCTTAATATCATTAAAAACTTATGAAGGATAGATGCAATGGTTGTAGAAAGAAAAAGTTCTTCTTTACAGAATAATGCTTGCAAAAACTGACTAGAATGATGATAGAATTAGAAAGTTACCAATTTACAACCACCAATGTTAGTCATTTCACAGAGGCTTATCAGTAAGCCTAACAGCATGTCATGGAAGGTGGTTGATGAACACAATATATACAAAATTTCAAGTATTATCCACAAGCAATTTATGCATTAAGAAGGGGAAAAGGAGCCAGAAATGTTGATTCACACTTGTAATCCCAGCTACTTGGGAATGGAGGCAGGAGGATCATGAGTTCAAGGCCAGCCCAGAAAAAGCAAGGGAGACCCTATCTCAAAAGCAAAACGCATTGTGGCTCAAGTAGTGAGGGCCTGAGTTCAAACTCCAGTACCACAAAAAAGTAGGGGAAGGGGAGATAATGTTGTCATGAAGAAATTTGAAACATACCTCCTCAACCAAATGATCAAATTTGGTGCTACCAGTCACTACAAAATGCCATTGTTGTACCTCTGGATGTGATACAGTGGGAAGAACATATTATTTCCTGTATGGTATTCTTATCAAACATTTTAACCTGAATTTAATAATAAGCAACTATTCAGGTAAATCTAGACAACAAGACATGCTACACCCAACCTATACTCTCAACACCCAGAAAGAGAGAAAAAACAGATGTAGCAAAATGTTACCAATTGGTCAGTTGGTAAATGTAGGTGAAGAGCTGTTCATTGTGTTATTCTTCCAACTTTTTTTATGTTTGAAATTTTTTAGAGTAAAAGTAAAAACTTTGAAGGAAAAACAGAAAAAAGCTCTATTAGTTAAATTTTCAGTGTTACTTTATAAAACTTATTTTTAATTTTAAAGAAATGGAATGAAAAAAGGGATCTGTTTTTCTAATATAGTTAAGATCAAAGGAATAATTCCCTAAACTACGTATATTCTATTTAATAAAGTAAACTTATTTGTTAAAAATTATATTGCTATTAGTGTTAATATGTCATGTAGAAAAAAATATAGCTAAGTAGGTTTAAAGCACATACTTTGTCAAGAGACATTTGTATCTCAGTTAGGGTACATCTTATTGACTGTGTGGCTCAGACCTGGTTACGCTACCCTGCCAAGCCTGGCTTTCTATTTAGTAAACAAATAAAATCATAATATTTTTAAACAAGTTCACGTGTATGTATCCTGTAGTCCACTGAGTAAATACTCAGTAAGTGCTCAGGAAATGTTAACTTTTATTAACCTCATCTTTTTCATCTTTTTTCCTGCCTATCTTTCCTGTCTCACTTTAATTCTTGCTGGTTTTCTTGCTGTCCCTTTAATATTTATAGGTGGGGCTGTGAGCAAGACAGGGACAGAGTATTAGCTCCTATTTTCATTTACTAATTTTATTTCTTTGTTACTTGCTTTTAAGGAGATTCGAAGCATTAATTCAAACTGGAAAAAGTCCCACTTCTGAATTACTCTTTGACTGGGGTACTACAAATTGCACTGTTGGTGATCTTGTAGATCTTTTGGTCCAAAATGAGTTTTTTGCTCCTGCAAGTCTTTTGCTGCCAGGTAAACTGGGTGTGACCAGGGTGTTGGCAACTAGGGTGGAAAGATAACAAAGCAGAAACAAAAATGTTTCTTCTTTTACTTTTTCTCTTAACAAACCTGATGTGTGAGTCCCTTTCATTCTTTCAGCTCTCCCTAACTTTTACCAAGCATCCCAGATGTAGGGCATTGCAGACTGTGGTGCTAAGATGATGGAAGCTTCATAATGAGTCTGAGCCCATTAAAGTCAGGTAATTTTGTGTTAGACATCTAGTGTATGCTATAAGAAATTAGTTTTTCTTTTGAGTTTTTGCTTTTTTCCACCTTCAAACTTCCATCCTGATGAAACTCTTATGATCATGACTTCCTTACATTGCATTCTGGTGTGTTAGTGTCTGACTGCCTTCCTCATAGCCTTACTTTTCTCCCTTTGAGGTTATTTATACCAATGGTTCTCAACATTTTTTGTACCTAAAAATCACTTAGGGTTCTTATTGAACATGTCCTGTGCTCTGTCCCAGTCCCACTTAATCAGAATTCTGAAAATGAGTTCAAGGTCTGTATTCTTAAACAAGTATTTCAGGGCCACTGTTACAAGTGGCTCTTGGACCACTTTTTAAAACACTGCCTTACTCTCAATATCCATGTTTATCACAACTGACAACATCTTCCTACATAGCTCTGAGAACACAGGGCTAACCCCTTAAAACTGGAATGAACTGAGTTCTTAGTTTAACTTTTTCACAAATGCTTTTCTTATCTAAGGACAACCTATATATTATTCTATTTGGCAGATGCTGTTCCCCAAATTGTTAATACCCTACCTTCTAGAGAGGCAGTAACAGTTCCACAGAAACAGATGCCTTTCTCTGAAAGAGACAGAATATCTGTGATACCTATGCAAAATCTTGAACAAAACTATGTGCCACCTGACTCCACAAGTCCAGAAAATAAAGGTTTAGAAGTTGGTGATACACGTAAGTACATTTTCAGTCCCTTCTAGTAGTGGATTTGTCATTATGACAAGCACTATTTCAAAGTAAACCTCTCCTTTGGTTTGTGAAATACTCAGAAAGCACATCACCAATGCTCTTTTGTGTGTTTTCCTTCATATTTGTTAAGTATCATTTCACTATATTAATCAGTGTATTATCAGTGATTAGAGGCAATAGGATATGCAAGCAACCACAAAAGCTTAAAAAAAATAAGTAACTTTCTTTTCAGATAAAAGAAATGTAACTGGAGTTTGGTGGGGTAGAGTTAACTCAGCAAGATATGTGAATAGAATTTTGGAAGTGGGAATAGAGTATTTTGTGGATTGGATAAGTAGGCATAGTTCTCATAATGATTACAATTCATATTTTAAAAATGATTTCAGCCTCTCCTATCCTGCTAATCCAAAGTTGCATTCTTATGTGTACACGCATGCATGTGTGTGCAGAATCTTCAAACTGAGAGAATATCAGAATTATTTATACCAATTTCATTTTTATTTCAGCACTTTTTCTTTGCTTTTTTGACATTACAGGTTTCCACAGTTTTTCATTTTATGAGTTAAAGAGTGTCACAAATGATTTTGATGAACGACCCATTTCTGTTGGTGGAAATAAAATGGGAGAGGGAGGATTTGGAGTTGTGTATAAAGGCTACGTGAACAATACAACTGTGGCAGTGAAGAAGCTTACAGCAGTAAGTTATCTTCAGGAATAAAAAAATAAAAGGAAGATTTGCTTCATAGTGTATGATATAATAAACTTTAAGTTATTATTTTAGCATGTATTTTCTTTAAATAAATGCAAACCTAAACTGGTAGATCTTAACATTTAAGAATCTGTTGAGAGCTAGAAAAATGCAGTTATGCACACATGCCTCATGCACAATCAAGATTAAAATGGTAAGATACTAAGAAAAACTCATATAAATATTATTTAAGTATACTTCTTTGTATTACTTTTCTCATTTAAAAATAAGGCTTAGAAAATAGATACTAAGAAAAAAAAGATTGAAAATTTTGTTTGTGTCCTTTGTTCCCATTTTGGTTGAGTGTTCATCTTTTACTTGTTGATAACGTTCTACCTCTGTTGTACCCTAGAAATAGGAATAATTTTATGGGTAGATTATACAGTCACTGTCTCTCATATGTTGTAAATACTTTAACAAGTTTTGATTTTTCTTTTTGTGTTCAAATCTGCTTACACAAAATTCTTTTTGAAAATTGCCATAGAGTGTAATTTATAATTTTTTCCATTTACTAACCATGGACCTGAAGCAAATCACTAATATTGCTAGAGTCAATTGCACTATAAAATGAGGAGAATAATGCCTTATTATTTTAAAGGAAGCTGATCAGCCAGTTATCTCTTGAGTATTCATCTAGCTTTCAGAGCCATGGGGTTTTGTGATGTATTATGTGGTATATTATTTTGTTTTTCAGATGGTTGACATTGGTACTGAGGAACTGAAACAACAGTTTGATCAAGAAATAAAAGTAATGGCAAAGTAAGTGTTAATTTGTCAGTGTGATACAGAGAAAATGAACAAGAAAGGTATAATGAAGCTGGTATGCTATGGACATTCACAGGTACAGTATATAAAATTAAAATAAAGGGTTAAGACTAATACTTTGAACTTTTCAGACCTATGACTACATGTACTCATTGACTGCAGATTAAACAGCAGCCACTAATTTAAATCATAACAAAGTTACTTAGAATTTCAACTGTCTTTCATTATCATGTTTTATGTTCCCAGAATTTGTGAGAAATCAATTGTAGAAATACTTTTATAAAACTATTTTTAGAATAATAGACCCTTAGGTTATTTAATACTCTTAAAGGAACTAGGCAAGTATTATATATAAAGATGTTTAGACGGCATTGACCCTGAATTCTGGAAAGCTATTGAATATCATCTGGAAGTATAGGAGAAACAAATCAGGAAGTGTATTTTAATAATCAGAGTGTTGATATTTGAGTGTATGCAACATGCCAGATACTGCTGTGTATTTTATGTGTATTGACTCATTTACTTCTCAGAAAAACTACTACAACCTCCTTTCTTTTTAAAAAAACTAAGATTTTAAAACATTAAATAACTTGTCCAAGGTCTTTTAGTGTCAGAGATGGGATTCAGTCAATTTGACTCCATAGCCTGAGCTTTTGATCTGAATCCTGTTGGGATTTAACAAGTAACATCCATGAGACTATTGCTGTAAATTATTACTTCTGTTAGTTTGACCTCGTAAAATAATTAGTAGGCTAAAATTGATTCATGTGCAGTAAACGTAATACACACTGAAAGAATGGTCAAAACTCTTTATTCAGGATTTGTTCTCCCCACCCCTACTTCCATTCTCTAATTCTAAAAGTAACTTGCCTAAAGTACGTAATATGAGAAAGATAGGATAATATTTTTAATAATAAAAAAGATCTCTTAAATGTTTCACTCAGACATTACATTACTAATATTTTGACGTACTTGCTTCATGATGTGTTTGCAGTATTTTCTTGTCATTAAAAATAATTTGAAAACATTTAAAATTATTTCTAATGGTCTAATATATATGAAGATCATATTATATTTAACTATGATCCTACTAGGTTTTTTTCTAACTTTCAAAATTACAAATTAAACTTCCTTTAAAGATCTTTATACATAAGTCTAAAGTACTTTTGCTTATTTCATCACCGTAAGTCCTCAAAGACTTACTAGGTCGGAATGCAAGAACTTTTTTAAGACTTTCCAAATATATATCCAAATACCTTTATAGAAAGATAATGGTTTTTTTTTCTGATGCCGAAGGTTGAACCTAAAGCTGTGTGAATGCTCAGCATACCCTCTACTGCTGAACTACACCCCAGCCCCAAGTTAGGGTTATTTATATTCCCATTCAAATGTCATTGCCCCCTTACCACCACTGAATAGTACTACTATTTTAATAACTGTCAACCTCTGGACCTTACTAGCAGAATAACCTTGGTGAGGTTTCCTAACTCGCTATCCATTAGTTTTCTCATCTGTAAAATGGGGTAATTATAGTACTGTATTGTGAAGATTAAATAAAGCAGGTGAATAATTACAGTATCATACATAGCCTAAGCTCAATAAATGTTAACTGTGCATATATAAAATATGCTAATTTGGTGGAAAATGGAGCATTTAACTTTTATACTTCTCAAAATATTTATGAGGGTAGAATTCTGATTTAATGTAAGGAAATACCAGATTTGTAGATCATTTTGAAATAAGTACATGCTTAGATGGAGCATTTGTCATGTGCCAGGCTCATTTCTGGGCTCTCATGTACTTGGTCAGTTAATTCTTACAGCTTCCATGTTATATAATAGGTGCTATTTTCTGCATAAGGCAGATAAAAGAACTAAGGCTCATGAAGTTGTTAGCGTGTCATAGGTTACACATCTAAGAGATACAGACCTGAACTTTCAGCTTAGCACTTTGAACTCAGCTTGTTTTCTCTCTGCTGAACCACAGATGCCTGCAGATTTGTTGTACTGTAGTTCTGTTTAGTTTTATTACTCTCAAGTATATAAAAACACTCAAATTAGGTTATAGGCAATCAGATGTAGTTAAAGATCAGAAATGTTTAGATTAGGTGTGGTTCCTTAAATCAGAGCTTTGAGTGGGTAAGAGATTGTTTGATTAGTGAATTCTTGAAAATGTTACAGAAGTTTCAACAGACTTCTTGAAATCTTCTTTCTGCATCATTGAAACCTGTGCTGACCAATGATAAGCATTAATGTAGTCCTTAACTAAACTATGAAGTTCCAGTGATCTTAACTACTGAGCTTTGACTATGAAATAAAGAGATTTTGCTTCTAATGTCAATCAGTATTAGTAAAAGAAAACTTTATGAAAAATTTTGTCTTTTTTTCTATTAAAATCTAAGTTTGATAACTTTTAACCTACAACTAAATGTGTAAATGTTTATTATGATATTTTTAATGGCAAAAATTATTTGTTATAGGTGTCAACATGAAAACTTAGTAAAACTGCTTGGTTTCTCGAGTGATGGCGATAACCTCTGTTTAGTATATGTTTACATGCCCAATGGCTCTTTGCTAGACAGACTGTCATGCTTGGTAAGATACTTATTCATCAGATTGTCTGGTTTTTCTTTTCTATGTTGGAATACTAATGTTTACTTTGTGACAGGATCATTTAAATCACGTTAAACTTAGTATTTTTCCTTCTCTATATAAGTTGTACAGTTGATATGTACACAACTGAGATTGCCAACCTGTTAGTTGATAATTTAAAATGTAAAATTATCAGTCAAGACTAGACATTGAAGGTGCTGTTTATCTGTTTTAATCTTCAAATAAGATATGTTAACCCCCCCCATTTGAACCTAGTTACAGATCATTTTTTTCACAACTTAAAATAATTATAGTCCCTCTTAAATCCAGGGTACGTTTCTTTTGAGCTGAGTAATTCTGAACCTTTCTGAAAAAAAATTATAGTCCTAAATTCTAAATGATATAATATCATTTTCAGTTGTTGCCCAGAAAAATAGTGTGTTATTTATTTTCTATAGATTCTTTATTCTCCTTTTTTCAAATTAGTTTGTCTCTTTCTAAGGATGGTACTCCACCACTTTCTTGGCATATGAGATGCAAGATTGCTCAGGGTGCAGCTAATGGCATCAGTTTTTTACACGAAAGCCATCATATTCATAGAGATATTAAAAGGTAAGTGCTACTGTGAAAAAATCTTTTAGAAAGCCATCTTTAAAGAATGATTTGCTCTTGCTCTTTTTATTCACTATTCACATGCATGTGTTAACCTAGAGCAGCTAGACTTTCACCCTCACTCCATGAAAGCTCTTCTCACGAAGGACCTCTATGACCTCTTTTACTACAAATCCAGTGACCTATTTCCAGTACTTTCCAGTATTTTCATCCTACTTATGTTTTTTGTTGTTGCCTTATGGAAATTAGATTCTTTCTTAGTTTCAGGATTACTACTCTTTTGCAATCACCTTTATCCTCCATGAGCACTTTTTAGTTCTCTTATTTCTTATATATTTATGTAGTTAATGTTTATCTGTTATCTGCTAGGCACAATATGATATAGTTAGAGTAGTATATATAGAGTTTAACACCAATTAAATAATCACCGAATTATAGTAAATTTTTAGTATTTAGTATTAGTTTAAAGAAGTGTTCCCAAGGAAGCAATATTTCAGCTGAGCCCTTAATAATGATCAGGAGATAAGAAAGCATAATTTGAGAGCCTCTATAGAAGATGGGTGGGAAGAAGAAACATTCTAAGCAGAAGGAACCACATTTGTAAGACCAGTGTTGAGAAGAAATACGGTTGCATAATGAGTTTCAGGAGGTGAGGTAAATGCAGTATGACTGATGTGCAGAAGGTGAAGGATGTAAGAGGTTAGAAAATTAGATAGGCAGGGAGCAAAGTCCTATAGGACTTGGTAGACCAAGGTAAGCATTTTAGTTTGATCAAAATATAATAATTTGTCATTGAAGTGTAGTAAGTTGCCATTGAAAATTATAAATAAGAATGTGACATTATATTTAAGTTTGCCTGGAATCACTTTGCCTCCAGGGAAAAGAGCAGCCTGTAAGAAGGAATAGTTAATAGACTATCATAGAAGTTTTGGTGATGGTATTTCATATGAAGAGAAGTGAGCATATTTGAGAAATGAAGGTGGTAGGACATACTGATATCTTAGCTATAGAGAGAGTCAGGGAGAGGGAAGTATCAGGAATGACTCCTAAAATGTTAGCATTCAGAGTTGCACTCTGATATGATTGTGAGGTGATTTATTTATATAGAAATGTTAAAAGAAGTCCAGGTTGGAGTGGGATTGGGAGAGTTCTCTTTTGTACCTTTTTATTTGAGATTCTTTTAAGATACAGAAGTAGAAATATTACACAGATAGTATAATATACAGATTTGGAGATGAATGACATCTGAGCTGATGATATAAATGCATATTACTTGAAGAGTTATCATATGGTTGTATTCACTTAAGGAAACATGTGAATAAAGAGCTCCAGATTAAGTCTTAAGACCTAGTGACCAAGTGGAAGAGAATACTCCCAAAAGAAACCTAAGAAAGTATAGATACAAAAAAGTAAGATGAAAGTAAGAAAAACACATTATCTCTGAAAACAAGGAAAGAAAGTATTTCCCAAGAGACAGTCAAAAGAGTCAAATGCATTAGATTAGCATCATGAAGGTCATTAGTGACTTCATGAAGGCCTATTTCCATATAGTAGTTGACTGAGAAGTCAGGTTGTAGATAAGGAGCCCTAGAACTGAGATTTTGCTTGATGTAACAGCTAGAAAGAAATGTGTCATTCACGAAACTTTTATTATTAGCATATATTCATTGTACAAGGAGGATTTGTTGTGACTATTCTGAATATCCTTATATTGTATATTGGCTAGACCCCCCACACACATCTTCCCCCTACCTCCCCCTCCCCATTCCACTTAAAGCAATTACAAGAGGTTTCATTATTCTATTTCATATATGTGTGTGTGTGTGTATGTGTATGTGTATGTGTGTTGTGTATGATGCCTATCACCCTATTCCTTCATCTTCATTGCCTCAATTCACCCTCCCCTTCCCACAAGTACCCCCACATATACTGTGCCTATTTTACAGTCCTGTCTTTCATTATTAATCAGGAAACTTTCTTTAAAATGGCAGGGACTAATGCATGTTCATATACTTATGGGAAGGATCTAGACAAGAGTGAGAGGATACAATAGAAGAGAGAAGTGAGATAATTCACAGAGTAAGGTTTCCAAGAACCTAGGAAGAGGCCCAAGTAGAGGGACAGCCTTAAGAAAGAGGAGAGACACCATCTCTATCCCTTACATATTGGTATTCCTACATGTTCTTACCTCATTATGTCTTCTGTCCTTACATGATCTTGCTAAATGATATTATGGTAACTTCAACTGCTATCTATATGTGAATAAGTCTCAAATCTGTATTATCTGCTTCCAATTCTGTGTTTTCAGTGTCTTATACCAAAACTCCTCACTTGGATGTCTCACAGGAGCCTCTAAGTCAGTATCTCAGAAATCAAACTCATCATCTCTTCAGCCTAAAATCTTTCCCTATATTTCCTTTCTGATCCAATGAAGTGCCTGTTCATTCTGTCTCCCAAGCTTAAGACTTCATAGTTCCTTATATCATGCTATTACAAAGTTCTGTTGAGTATGCCTGAAAATTTGCTTGTCCTGTTTGTCCCCAGTGTTTTGCCTTGTTTAGACTTTCAGTATCTTTTATCAACATTATTATAAACTTTTCTAGTCTACCTAAAACTAGTCTGTACCAATTCTCATCTATTTGCTGCAACAATGGCAGATTATAGTCCTAAAAATTCAGATCTGATCAAGTTAATTCCCTAATAGGAAAACTTTAGATGGTTGCCTGTTACTTAGAGGATAAAGCTTAAATTCTCTCCATGGATACTGGTTTCTTGAAATTGATCATATGTAGCATATCTTCATGTTTCTGTCACTTTGTGCATGTTGATCCATTAGCCCAAGATGCCTTTCTTTCCCTCATATAACCATCAACTTTTAATAATCCTTCAAACTAACACACTTCTTACCTTCCTTTGGACTTTTCCCAGTTATTCCAGGCACATGATTATTCTGTAAGCATTTTGTGCCTAATATTACCATCATGTAGTACTAATATATTAGCTTTAAAAATTACTCATATGCCTTTGTGACAGATAAGATTTAAGATTTCTATCATATTCAGCTGTCAATACTATAAAACATAAGAATTCTCAATAAGGTTTTGATCAAAAAAAAGTATGAATGTATAAATGAATGCATATGATAATGAATTAAGATCTTCAGTTATAATTTTTTCTTTATAAGATTCCAGATAATTGAGAATAAAATAGTTTTTAAACTATTCTTTCATTTCTTTAGAAGTGAATAATTGATATACTTAGGAGGGAAATTTGTATTTAAATGAACTGAGAAATACTATGAAAGGAATTAAGAAGAATGCTTTTGGCTTTTTTCAAAGCCAGACACAAAGGCAAATGCCACGTGTTCTCACTCATTTGTGGAAACTAGTAAGTCAGTTTCTTAGAAGAACTTTGGAATGGAGCAGAGTTTACTAGAGATTGGGAAAAGCCAGTGCATGAAGGGTAAGGGGAGGCAGGATCAGAAAGAAGTTCAGTAATGGCCACTAGAACACAGAGTGGAGGAATTACTTCTTCTTCTT